GGGGACAGACAACAGAAAGGTGAGTGATGGGAAACATTGGACAGCCTAAGACATGACAAAATAATAATAATTTATAAATTATGAAGGGTTCATGTGGGAGGGGGTGGCGGGGAGGGAGGGGAAAAATGAGGAGCTGACACCAAGGGCTCAAGTAGAAAGAAACTGTTTTGAGAATGATGATGGCAACAAATGCACAAAAGTGTTTGACACAATGGACGTATACATGGATTATGGTAAGAGTTGTTCGAGCCCCTAATAAAATTATTTTTAAAAAAAGAAGTATATAGACCTAGGTGGGGGACATATAAATCGAGAACCATTAGCTTCACATTTTAACATTTTGTTTAATAAAGAAAAGAAGAGCGAAACTCTCTTGAATTTGAATGGGCCTTTGACTGTGTTCTAAAGTTTAGAATGTTCATCTCTTCTTTATATTTCAGTTCCTCTCAAAATATATCATTTTGATATAAATTAAGATAATCTGCTTTGGAGATCAGGTATATAAAAACCAAACTCGGTGCCAACTGAGTTGGTGCTGACTCATAGCAACCCTGTAAGATAGGGCAGAACTACCCCTGTGGAACTCTAACTCTTTGTGGGAACAGAAAGCTCTCTCTCCTGAAGTAGATAAACCTCTCATTAATTCTCCTTTGTACATTTCTGAAGTTGGATTGACCATTATCCCTTTTCCAAATGGAGGAATGTTTTCCTATCTAAAGGAGGGAGCTTTCCCAGAAGCTTGGTTAATACAGGTACACGGGCACAGGGCTCAGAATGACATCGCAGCCATTTTCCTACCAATATCCCAGCCCTGCTCTTTACCACCACCCAGTTCTCCAGTGTTCTGTTGGAAAACCGGTTCCAGTGTTTATTGAAGTCTGTGTTTAGAGAAACACGGGTTTTTTTTACCCCTGAATAGGATGTCTTAAGTTCTCTACCAATGGGAAAACTTATGGGGGTGGCAGTGGTGAAAAGGGTTATGGAAATGATCCAAAAACTCTTGGCCTACTGAACTACTCTGCTAACAGACACCTACTGTGCTTAGATGAGAGGGCAAACAGTTTCTTTCTAAAGAAAGCATGATTAGTAGGCAAGTTGAAACAGTCAGGTTTAAAAATGGTTAACAAACTTTAAAAATGTGGTCAACATATCAGCATCTAGTGATTCTAATACTAAATAGTTCGTGTAAAGATCCTTAAATATTGCTATGCAACAATCCCTACCACTGAACAGGAAACAAGAGGAGGGAGGTCCCGGAAAGAGGGGGTGGGGAGATCCGGGAAAGAGTGGGTGAGGTGGGGGGAAGAAAGGAGGAGGGAGGATGCCCAGGAGGTTACACTGGTCTTTTACTGGCATTGCTCGTCACATTATTTTGGGATTTTACAGAGAATGAGTTCACTGGCCTGACCCCTGAATTGACTCACCCCCAGGTCCCCCCACTCTGGATGCACAGATCAGCTGTTGGCTACCTTCCAAAGTTCTCGGCAATTTCCTAAACCTGCGTTTTGCTGTACAGAATCCCTAGAGGTCTAATTGTTTGCTGGAGTCAGTCAAATATAAACAAACTGAGGAGAGGTTAGTCATTTCACTTCCTCCTCAAAGGCAGACGTTTGTAAATTTACATGTAAAATAGGTAACTAGTATTTATTTATTTATTTTGGGCCACAGCATCAGGAAACTTCAGGGTCAGAAAAAAATTGAAATCACCCAACCATTTTTCTTCAGGTTCCTCATGAAATTATGACAGAATGGCTAATTAACACTTAAGCACCCTTCACACCACCAAGAAGTCCTTAAGCTAAGGGAACTGGTAGAAAAGGAGAACCGGATAGAGATCTTTGTTGTACAATTAACAAAGCCCAAGGGGCTCCTTTCTGAAAAGTTTATCCAAACACGTTTTAGGCGACCATTCTCCATTAATCTCCATCCACCACCATCATCGTCGGCCAGTCCCCCAACCAAAAAATATCTGTCTACCTGGGAGTTTGGGTTTCATAAGGGCGAAAAGAGGCGTTTGGGGGTAAGATATATTTGAAACTCTTGAAGGGCAAGCGCTGTGGACTTTACAATCTGTCTATAGAAGGGGAAAAAATTCTCAACTAGTTATTAAATACAGCCAACTGAGATAAGAAAATGGGTGGCCTCTGAGTGCCATTCTCTCACTAAGGATTTTTTTTAATCTGCTAACAAGAACAGAGGTGTACAGCACCTGTTTGCCTGATCACCCATTCCGGTATGTCATATTTTATAAACAAGGTTCCTGGAATCCCATCAGACCAGAGTTCCAGGTGTCCTCACTC